GAGACTCAGGGCGAGCGGGGACTGCTTGAGTCAGCAGGAGGCCACACCTGAGACACGATGCCTGGGAGAGGTGTTGGGTGTGAAAGCAAGTAAGTGCCCCCCCCACCTCATGCTGAGACCCCACGTTCCTACCGTGCTCCTGCACCACTCCCCACTGAGACCCTGCCCTCTCCCCTTGGCCAGACATACCACCGCCAGCGTATTCCTACACTCTCCCTCCTGGCCAGACACCCTATCCCCACCATGCTCCTGAACCCACCCTTGCTCTTGCACTCTCCCTCCTGGCCGTACAGTGCAACTTCCCTTGCTCTTGCCCCCTCCCTCCAGCCATATATCCTACTTCCAGTCTGCTCCTGTGCCCTACCTCCTGCCCAGACCTCACACCCTCACCCCTCCTGCAGCCCATCTCCTACCCACATCCTGCACTCTCACCCCTCTCCCATTCACTGGCAGCCCTGTCCCACACACTAAACCCCTCATTTTTGTCCCCACCCCAAAGCCTGGAGTGTCCACAAAACCCATTAACCCTGAAATCCCAGGAGTAAATCCAGCCCATGGGGGGGAAGCCCTGAGCCTCAGTCCTTCCTGCTCCCCTCACCCCCTTGCTCCATGGGGCTGCAGCTAAGGATGCTAAATTTCAATTAATCAGCTAATCAAGTAGTCAATGGCATTTCTAGCGACTAATCAATAAGGGGGGTGGGGCACTCACTATCCCCACTGTGCCTCTGCCTTTGAAATGTAGCAAGAGCCCCATGGGGTCTCGTGCTCCTGCACCACTCCCCACTGAGACCCTGCCCTCTCCCCTTGGCCAGACATACCACCGCCAGCGTATTCCTACACTCTCCCTCCTGGCCAGACACCCTATCCCCACCATGCTCCTGAACCCACCCTTGCTCTTGCACTCTCCCTCCTGGCCGTACAGTGCAACTTCCCTTGCTCTTGCCCCCTCCCTCCAGCCATATATCCTACTTCCAGTCTGCTCCTGTGCCCTACCTCCTGCCCAGACCTCACACCCTCACCCCTCCTGCAGCCCATCTCCTACCCACATCCTGCACTCTCACCCCTCTCCCATTCACTGGCAGCCCTGTCCCACACACTAAACCCCTCATTTTTGTCCCCACCCCAAAGCCTGGAGTGTCCACAAAACCCATTAACCCTGAAATCCCAGGAGTAAATCCAGCCCATGGGGGGGAAGCCCTGAGCCTCAGTCCTTCCTGCTCCCCTCACCCCCTTGCTCCATGGGGCTGCAGCTAAGGATGCTAAATTTCAATTAATCAGCTAATCAAGTAGTCAATGGCATTTCTAGCGACTAATCGATAAGGGGGGTGGGGCACTCACTATCCCCACTGTGCCTCTGCCTTTGAAATGTAGCAAGAGCCCCATGGGGTCTTACATTTAAAAGGCAGAGGTACAGTGGGGAACCCAGGGTGAGTCCCCGCTTGCCCTGGGTCCCCCCGTACCTCTGCCTTTTAAAAATAGTAAGAGCCCCTGTTTGAGGGCCTGCTCGCACTGTTTCCCCACTGTGCTTGTCTCCCCTGCATTCCCAGGGAAATGGTGCTTGAGGGAACTACCCTTGCTCTTGCACTCTCCCTCCTGGCCGTACAGTGCAACTTCCCTTGCTCTTGCCCCCTCCCTCCAGCCATATATCCTACTTCCAGTCTGCTCCTGTGCCCTACCTCCTGCCCAGACCTCACACCCTCACCCCTCCTGCAGCCCATCTCCTACCCACATCCTGCACTCTCACCCCTCTCCCATTCACTGGCAGCCCTGTCCCACACACTAAACCCCTCATTTTTGTCCCCACCCCAAAGCCTGGAGTGTCCACAAAACCCATTAACCCTGAAATCCCAGGAGTAAATCCAGCCCATGGGGGGGAAGCCCTGAGCCTCAGTCCTTCCTGCTCCCCTCACCCCCTTGCTCCATGGGGCTGCAGCTAAGGATGCTAAATTTCAATTAATCAGCTAATCAAGTAGTCAATGGCATTTCTAGCGACTAATCGATAAGGGGGGTGGGGCACTCACTATCCCCACTGTGCCTCTGCCTTTGAAATGTAGCAAGAGCCCCATGGGGTCTTACATTTAAAAGGCAGAGGTACAGTGGGGAACCCAGGGTGAGTCCCCGCTTGCCCTGGGTCCCCCCGTACCTCTGCCTTTTAAAAATAGTAAGAGCCCCTGTTTGAGGGCCTGCTCGCACTGTTTCCCCACTGTGCTTGTCTCCCCTGCATTCCCAGGGAAATGGTGCTTGAGGGAACTAGCTTTTAAGCCGGCTGCCCCCAGCACCGGCTCCTGCTCCCCCTTGCTGTCTCTGAAACAGAGGCAGCAAGAGTGGGAAAGCAACTAGTCGAGTAGTGACTCATGGGCTTATCGGGTAGGTGCTTACATCTCTAGCTGGAGCACCAGAGGAGTGAGGTGTTGTAGTTGGGGGCCATATCAGTGAGGGTTGAGTGTTTTTGGAGGGGTTTTTTTTTTGGCTTCTCACTTGTGTGGTCTCCACCTGATTTTTCTGTGGGTCAGTGGCCCCCAACCCAAAAAAGGTTCCCCATCCCTGCCATAAATAAAACAAACATTGAAACTGGTTATGTTGGACATAAATTAATATTTTACTTTATTTAAAATGAAGTTTGATAAACTAACATGAGAAAGTTAAAGCACTTTAATAATTTAATATTTCCTTTCTTACTGATTAAATTAAACTGTTCTCCCTAATTGCAGCACTAGCAAAATGGCTCAGGCATAGTTATGTAATTAACAGTGAGTTTCCATTAGCAACTAGTGGTCCATGGAAAGGTTTGCATTGAGCCAGGTGGGCTAAAAAGTTTGAGAACCATTGCTCTGGGGCTTAAGTGTCCAGACATCTAGGCTACGTCTACATTGGCCCCTTCTCCGGAAGAGGCATGTTAATTTCCAACTTCAGAATAGGGAAATCCGCGGGGGATTTAAATATCCCCCGCGGGATTTAAATAAACATGGCCGCCGCTTTTTTTCCGGCTTGGGGAAAAGCCGGAAAAAAGCATCTAGACTGGCGTGATCCTCCGGAATAAAGCCGGAGGATCTCTTATTCCTACTTCAGTATTAAGAAGATCAGAATAAGAGATTAAGAAGATTCAGAATAAGAGATCCTCCGGAAAAGGGCGAGTTCCCCCCCAGCACAGCAGGGAGACCCGAGCAAAGCCAGGGCTTTATTCCGGAGGATCACCCCAGTCTAGACGCTCTTTTCCGGCTTTTCCCCAAGCCGTAAAAAAAGCGGCGGCCATGTTTATTTAAATCCCATGGGGGATATTTAAATCCCCCGCAGATTTCCCTATTCTGAAGTTGGAAATTAACATGCCTCTTCTGGAGAAGGGGCCAATGTAGACGTAGCCCTAGAGCAGGGCTACAGTGCACATACACAGATGGGAGAAACATAGGTGCCTAGGGAACTTTCATTGCAAAACTTTAGGTGCCAGGTGATTTCCCTATTCTGAAGTTGGAAATTAACATGCCTCTTCTGGAGAAGGGGCCAATGTAGACGTAGCCCTAGAGCAGGGCTACAGTGCACATACACAGATGGGAGAAACATAGGTGCCTAGGGAACTTTCATTGCAAAACTTTAGGTGCCAGGTGAGTTTAGGCTCTCACCTGGCACCTAAGTACATACCACTTATGTACAGTGGTAGTTCAGCA